GTACTATTGAGGCGTGCATGATATATGGATGATTATAAAACATTGCTGTGACACTTAGAGCAGCCAGTAAGGGCCTGTCCACATACTCACGTCACGACGTCATCAACGTGGAACATACCTTGACGCGACGTGCAATTTCACGTCCGTAATGTAAAAATACATTTCACGATACAGACGTTAAATGCTTATCTTTACCACAGAATATTCCTTTATCAAGGATATATTGTATTTTTATGATATTCTCAGCCTCTATTAATATAAGATTGACTTTGATAAGTCAAGAAGAATCAGAAGGCACTGCGGTATGTGAACCGTCATGAATTGATATGCTCACATAGATTTTACGTCAAGGCGACGACGTGTCAGATTACCGTACCGATCCACGATGACGTCGTGACGTGGAGATGTGGACAGACTCTAAGCCAGTAACGAAGAACTTGGCTCAGTCACGAACCTCTGGTATCGTGGAATAGCGCTAATGAGCGATCTCGCCACCCGATAGCGACAGGCGACAGCTCGACTTCTTCGCAACTAATATGTTATTTCTATATCCTCTCATATCCTCCGTTTAATTGACTTTATTCAATAGATATCAGATTTTTTTCAATTTTGAAATGAAAAGACAGTTTCTATAAAATAAATTAAGAGGATCTGTTCAAGTTCAAACGTTTACAGGACATTTAAGACGGAATATGTACATACATATTTGCAATAACATTATTTCGTAGGTAAGTATCTAAGTTGAAGTTTTACTTTTTTATATAAAGGTAACTTGCAGAACACTGTAAAAAGGCTAAGTAAGCACTTAATTACACCCGTATATTAAAAATACCGTGTGAAAGACACCAACTTAACTGCTTAACCTTTTGAACGCCAGAGCAAAAACGCATGAACTTGCCCTCAACGCCAGGCCACAAATTCACCGCAAATACCTACGAAAAAAATAGGGATTCCAAAACTTCATCGATAATCAATTTTATTTTCATTTTCGTCTTTAATTTCGAAATATAATGTCCTTATAACATTGAAATTTAATTCAACATTACATTTCTTCCTATTAAAGTAATAGTTATACACTATTTACAGACTTGTATAATACCGTAATAACAGATATGAGACAACAATATATTTAAATATAATAACTGTAGGTACAACACTATTCTTGATCTGCTGTCTTCATATTGTGACCATGGCGTGGACGGCCCGCCATTTTAATAACTACTTCGCTTCCGAAATAAGGATGTGGCAACGTAATATCTCGTTTATCGATGTTCTAGTACAATATTATTTTATAATAAATGAAACACGTTTTTTAAATCAGATTTATAATTCCGAATGTAACAGGTACTTAAAAATATATGATTGAAATAGGTTAAGAAGGTAAATAAAAACTATGAAAAAATAGAAAATTTTAATAAAATGTTATACAGTATGTACTATGTATACATGTTTTTAAATATTAAGTTCTATAAACCTGGCATAAAAAGTAACAAATTAAAACAATTAACGATTATATATAATTATCACAATTACCAATCAGTCTTATACTAATAAATCTTTTGAATAATAGAACAAAATTATACAAAATCTACAATGCAACCTGCATTCTGATCATCTAATTCGCTGGGTGCAAAGTGGGTGGTGGGGACAGTGAAATCGATCTCAGCGCGCACCGTGGCTAAAAAAGGAACTTTTGGCAGACTTTATTCCACGAAGTTATAGGTAAATATGGAGCCCACACTTAGAATAAAAGTTTCGAGTCAAATACTCTCGCTCTTCTTCCGTAGTCATTAAATTCCCACTCATTATAATAGTCACTTAATATAAATCTTGAACTCGATATCACAAGTAAATTAATCATAAATATTATTCATTCACTTCACTAATTTCTGGTCGCCGCGCTTGTGACGTCACGATATTGTCGTCTAGTCGTGACCATGGCGTACAGGGTACTGATAATTCGGGTTGCGTTAGGGATGCGCTTGAGTTGGGATTAGTGAATATCGAAATTCGACCCCACCAAATTTTATTTTTGACTATGTAGCTTATTGAATGATTTTTAAGACTGGTTTTATAAAACTAATGCTGCTTTATCCTAGTACCAAATTATACCTAAAATATTATATTCCAGAGGAAAGTTTCGAATCGATCTTTGATTTGAAATAATGATATTATCCAACATGCGCTACATCACTAGCGGTCACGCAGTTATGACTCTGGCGTGTGAGGACATTCTTTTTTCAGAGTTTATTTCTTTCTTTTTAACGTAAAATTTCTCAATATTTATAATGCAATTTAATTAGTTTTATGGAAATAAATAAATTTTGGACCTTCTATTTTACAGGTATATAAATAAATAGGCATTAAAGTAATGTTTAAATAGTTTATTTCGTGTTTTAATGTACCGCTGTTTTTGTCACATATTTGTGTCGTTGGCGCTCAGGGACAGTTTTCGCTTGTCACGTATTTGTGACCCTGGCGCTCAAAAGGTTAAAGTTACAAGTAAGAACAAAGTTAGTTACAAAGGCAAACAAGTTAGCATAGTGCGTAGGTACCGTTCAGTAAGTTACGATGGTGTCGTGACATTGCAATCTAAGCACTTTCATACTTTCTTGTGTTTCGTCAGAGTCGCTCGCTCCACGCCGACAGCGGTAATAAATTCTAAATGTCACCGAAGATGATGCATAATGGACGCAGTGCCTCGAGGTGTCACTTGCAGCACGATCAAACAAATTGAGCCCTTAAGGATTAATTCGAAAGGTTTATTTTTGTTTAGTAACGAATAATACTTGAATGACTTTGTCTTATTGTAAATCTACAAATTCCCAGTCAGTCTTTGAAGAGTACAATTTTGTCAATTATTTTTGACATAATTTACAATTAAACTCCACCTTGTCGAGACAAGAACAATAACGAAGACATCTTCACTGAGCATGACTTTCAAATAAATTGATGTCAACTAACTTTTATACCAAGTGAAAGAAGCAACCATAAATGTAGCATCTCCGTTCATGGCCCATAAAAGTCTAGCAAAAGCTCTTACATAGTCAAGTAATTACATCTGTAGTTAATTAAGAGGTACGCCACATCGTAACTGAACAATCAAGAAAGTCGACAATAAAAACAATTGTTTATAAATTCATGTGCGATTTCTTGTTGTCACTGGCTGTTAAAGGAATAAAAATGTTATGATGGGGTGTCAACTAAATTGTATTTTGATTGGCTCTTGACTCTCGGCGTCAGTCACGGTCGATGGCAACCACATCGTTGTTCTTTTGTTTATTTACGAAGAATTTTAATGATCACCAAGATCTCTTGGGCTGTCAACTAATTGTTAAAGGAATACCTATTTGTGAATGCTCTAGGGACTCTCAGAGACGCAGTCCAACATCAAAGTAAACAAGGGATGATAATAGCTTTGTAGCAATTTGCAAGTCTACTGGTCATTGAACAAATCTCATTGCACTTGTCCGCTTATTTCCATACAATTTGCGCCACACACGGTGAGGCGCGTGCGCGCTCCTTTTGCGAATATTCCGGACCGATGTTTATTAGAACTGTCCAGCGTTTAGTGCAAAAAATATTTTAAAAGTGCATTTAAAACTTTGATTACAAAAAAATTCATAGTTTTTTTTTATAAAAGTGAGAAAAAACTTAGTGAGGTATGAAAGTAAAAATGAAAATAAATTTCCAATCAAAATTTATTGTTGGGTTTATAAACTACAAAAAACGGCACCGTTCTTTTTTTCTCAGCTATTAGTAGCCATTAAATAACTGTTTGTCGTGAAGGGTGGATGTTACAAGGAGATGGAGCAGCGACCTCATGTAGGCACTTATGACAATAAAGTTTGGACAATGGACGCGGGCACTGTTTGCGGTGGACCACCGGCGACGGCCGGCGAGTGTACAAACGCACGTCAAAATATTCGAATCTGTCAAACCTTTTCATTACATTTTCGACTTTAAAACGAGAGGCTAAAGTTGAAAGTCTGTTGTAGAAATTTGACAGCTTGGAGTAGACCTGCCACGCTAAACCCTGTCACCACGAATGTACACATGCACAACTTAAAAAACAAAACGAAAAAGATTCAGGAATTTACATGCGAGAAATGCAGTTCGAAAAACTGGATTTACAAATAATTCTGCATAAAAAGTAGTTAAAGCAATCTACATTTTGGTATTTCTTCCATCGTTTTGCTCGTATATAGCTTCGATTTTAAATGCAACAATGTTAAAACTTTTCATATAATTCATCAGCATCCCAGAGCCATTACTGAGCTATGTTGATTTAAAGTTGAGTGAAGAAAGAATGCCTTAACGATTTTAAATAAACAATCTGAATTTTTGTCATTCATTGAGAAGAATACTTGTTCAGTAGGTTGCTTGAATAAAAAAGGACCATTTATTCTGGTTCCATATTATTTTTTGTAGGTTCTTGTTGGTCTGGTTAAACCTCATATTTTAATCCCAACATATATCCTGTTTCATACCGCATAAACCACATAACGAAGACACTTATAATGATTCGTTTAAACCGCGACAATATAATTTTTTATGATTATTACTGTGTAGTAAAATGAAGCTTTAAAAGCACTATTTAAGGATAAATTGTAAATGTAGGCATTGCTGATAAACTTTGCCTTAAAAAAGCATATTTTTCTTTATTTAGGTATGTGACTTTACCTCGGAACAATTACTAAAGCAGACTTTACGGTATAAATTATACTAATTTTGTGTTCTTGATGGGTATCTTGCATAACTGAATGATTTGGTATAAAATACCTCTTTTATATTTTCTTGACCAAAATCTCTTGAGATCATAAAGTGCATACTTTCTGTTAACGTGTACTCACGTAGGGTCGCATAGACACGTAGTGTGCGTGTAGGCATTCCATTCAACGCTATGCCACTATCACATTATCATTTATCTGATTCCCGGCCGCCGCTCTTTGATCTCTACAATTGACTTAATCGAATATTACTCACAATAGATCAAATAGTTTATCGAGCTCCACAACATTAAGTTGTTGCTTATATTAAATTTTGACAAGTGGTCAATTGACCAATGTCACCGATAATTTAATTTCTAAACAAGAAGCAAGCGTGTAGTTTGTTCATAATATCAATCTAATTTTGATTGTTCATCTTCCACGTAACAATATTAATAGCGTCGTTTTTATTTCCTAGAATACCGTATTGCACTCATAAATCAAAAGTTTTGTGATGCGGTCGCACCTACAAATACGTCGTCGACGTTAATTTTAGTATCTGGTCCCCCAAATATCATCAACTTGACATTTAAACATTCTTTACATGTCAAGAAACCGTAAAGCTCTCAAAGAAAGATTGATGGCCACCCACGGAATGCATTCTTATTGTAATGGCTATCTAAATGGTTGTGCAATATGGTGGCACTATCAGCCGATGTCAAGGATAGATAGGCCGACTGTTGATGGGTATTTATCGCCCTTCACAGTGCTGGGTGCGGCCCAAGGATACGAAACACGAGACTCGAACTAGGAGCGGTCTGCGACAGACGTTGACTTTGTTTGCATTTTACCAGTTAATGGAAGCCACGGGTTAAGTTAGCAAACGTATTGTCTTACAATATATTTAATTTATCTATTGTAGGTACGGAGTAATAAACACGCGGCGTAGGCGCACTCTGCGGGTAACCCCAATGAGGGCACGATCGATCGCCACGATGTGGGCGCAGAGCACCGTTTCACCATAAATGATCCCTTTGTGCTGTAAATTGATCATGAGGGTCCGACCGATCGCCTTTTGCAATAACAAAAACTAATCATCTTCGATATGATACCCACGCGGAAGTATTCCTCGGTACTCGTACTACAAAGCTTTCGTGTCGTACCCGCACCAGCGCCGCGCTCTATACGCGCGCGGGATACACTAGCGTTATTTGTTCAACTCAAATTTAGAACACGGGACTTTCTCGCTCCTAACGAAATATTTAGATAAGGGAATGTCGCAACATCAGGCAAAACAATGAGCTGTTAATTGTAAAAGCTTTCCTTATTCCTAACTTTGAGTCCGTCGACCCTGACGACGTGTGGGTGGAGTAATGCAGTGACTGTTGTGCTGTTTAGAAACCTAAGAATTACGATTCTATTACCGTTGCACAAAGCAGCTTAAAATTGAAATGAAAACAAAATGGGCGGTTAATGAATTAAAAGTTATCTTTTTTTGATGAATCAAATCAGTCATTAAAGTTACATTCCCATAATAGGCACGAAAGTGGTTTGTTAATACGGTCAAGTAAGAGACGACACGCGACGGGGTTAGTAATGATTTATGTTCATTTAAATGCATATGGGCAAGTGGTAGACGGAGCTACGTATGTATAATCACAGAGGCCGCTGCCCATGACCAATGTTAAATTGAATACGAATCGGTTATTTGCTATCGAGTGATCGAGTACGGCGCGCGCTCGAATCGATTCGATGATAGATGATCGATGGATCGGCTGCCTTTTAACTTGTATTATTTATTTATAATTTCGTAATTATTCGTGTTAACAACTCGTTGACATCTGAAGATGGATTATACAGAAATACACAATAAACATATCAATTTGAACAGCAATGCTACGAATAAATTATGGTTGGTTTAGTGTGATGAAATCGAAAATGTACGCGTGACTAGATGCATTAGCGTATAGGATCCGTTGCAATGTTAACCAGCCTTATCGGGAAAACAATGAGTGTTCCACAAGCATTACGATGCAAATACACCGGCTCTAATTAAGCCATGACTGGCTTCGGAAGGGAACGATCGAACCTATAATTATTTACGCTAATTTAGTCTCGCGCATCTCATCTTTATTTACAGCTTCATTTTATGCGACGTGAAGCCGGTTACTGGTTGTATGCATTTTAATTTTATATTAATTGCTATGTATATTGTTGTTAAAACGTAATAGGCTTTTAAGTATTCAAATCCGTCGACGATCTCTAAGAACTTCTTTGGTATTCATTAGGATAATACGAGTTCCACGTGATATTCCGTATTCGTAGTAAATAGTAAGCACTTACTTGGGTTTCTAGTAAATACTTGAGTGCGTTCATTAGTATGATAAATATTGATTTGTATTCTAAACCCGATTGTTTTGCCGCCGAATATGGTATGTCAGTGTTCACGCTCAATTAATCTCGTCTCGTCTCAGCTCTGTGTGGAGAATTATTGCAAGCGCAGCGTAATACAAGTTTGGGAATGATCAGCTAATACTAATTCTTTATAATGTACTTATTTTAAGTTTTATATTTTGAAGCTGTGCCTTAACAAAAATTATGTATCTCTATTTAAATATTAATAAGCCCTTTTGTATACATGATGCAGTAATAAAGAACTTTGACTCTGAATTTCCTATGCAAAATTGCAAATGCCAAGCACGAAGGTGTGATCTTTACATTCAATTAAGTTTGTTAGATATCACGATAGTTTGGGCAGATTTAGGTTTGTGCCTTCTTCATTAAAATGAGTTTAGTAACTAAAACTGAAAAGATGCTTTAGCCTCTTTCTACCCCTTCAAGGTGTATCAAATATGATGTTATACTGTGACACCAATCAAAACCCGTTAGATATTACTAATGTCGCATTGAGGTAGCCCGTTACTCCCTTATCATCAAGGATCTTGTAAACATGGTAATCTTTGATCTCCGCATAATTACGTAGGAACACCGTTTGTTCACGTCCCGCCGACCCCCGCCATCATTACCGACCTAATGATGTAATGAAAGCTCACTAACGCAGCGCAATCATATCTCGTTATAACTCAATGGACAGTGACGGTTTATTCAACTTCATTTCTTTAGATACGTGAATGGAAGGATAATTTAATGCCAGTGTTCATCCTCCATCAGAATTATCGTTTTTATTACATCCTCCCGAATAGAGATGTAACCAAGGCTGTACTTAATCGGTTTCTCGTTTTATTTTATCGGTCTTTTTACGCTGTAATCGGAACATAAATAATGAAGGCAACAGTTGTATTATCACTAATGACCTCTTTATTAGTCCTAATTACATGTTTGTGGCCATTATCTAGATTCAACTGCAAGTTGTAGAATTTATGAATAAAACGCGATGTTGTTGAACGTGTTATCTAATTTGTGGATTAAAGGTTATGATGGAGTCATCCGTTTCCTTTTACGTTTGCAACAACATCAATTAAATTGTTTTAATGATAGTAAACTAATTTATAAGCTCTTTAGAAGTCAGCTGTCTATTTACGACAGGGCTTGTAATTAGGAGATGTTATTAACAACACTATAAACCAGACTTTGTAAGTTTATAATGACGTACTTAACTCAAATACATGAAGTTCTAAACTAGTTTTGTACAATGTTGCAAACTGGTTACTCAACTTTTTATACTGATTGGCAGTTTGACCTAATGTGGACTATATTGATATTTACTTTTTTCGCAGGTTGCTGGTCGGTGCTCCTCTGGGTCAAAATCTACAACCGAACACCACCAAGTCCGGTGCGCTATGGAAATGCAGCGTATCCTCAACCCCGACTGACTGCATACAGATCATCACTGATGGCAAAAGGAGTGAGTAGACAGTGCACTACTGAGATGCCAGTGTTCGTAAGGACAGTGCACACAGAATTAGAACATGGATTCCATGCATTGACTTTCGTCAACCTTCAAAACTGTTGGACACTGATTCATTGCATAACTTGCATCTGTTCTCGCTCATTCTAAGTCCTTTTTACGGAATTGAAAAAAAAAATTGTAAATACTACGTTCGTAGGATAAACGTTTACTCACAAAGCGTAGTATAAACAATAGCGTTAGATACACTGTGTTCTGTTTTTAATCACTTTAGAAACTTGTCAATTACCTACACATAAATTTAGTATCTAGGGCTCGCAATACACAATGCTGAGTAGTACCTAGCGTGTTCTCACAGATACGAAGGAAACGCTGGAACCCGATCGATTCTCAACAATGTAATCGATTAAAATATCGATATAAGTTTTAACTAAAATGTTGTCTTTTGTCGGTGGTGCCCCAAACAGCGAAGTACGGCAAGATAGACACGAGTAAGTGAGCTGTGGTCTCAACCTCCTTTTATTCTTAATCATTTTGCTCTTCGACTAATCGACTAATCGCTGTAATGTTCTTTTTTTGATTTACTAATCGTCAACTCTTGTCTGCTCAAGTTCCAGCTGGACCGTCATTATGATACTGCAACGCATGACATCACTAACTTAGTGGTTTGATTTTTATTTTGCAACATCAAATTCACGTTCTTATTATAGAGGATACATTTTCTGTGATGGAATAGTTATAGAACAACTTAAATGCTAAATTAATAAAACTAATAATGTTAAAATGACATCAACGAAAACCTTTAAAATACCAATGTTTCCATCGACAGAAAATGTATCCTTCGTACGATAATATAAAGCACTAACTGCTTGCAATAGCACCGAAATCACAATGCTTGAGCTACACAGCACTTTAGATAGTAGCAACCTATATATTTACTCAAACAATATATTAAGTACCGATCGTTATCTAGAGTATATTCTGTTCAACACTGAACTATGAAGAAACTCGAATGAAAACGTATTTAGTGTAGACTACGACCAACTTAGGCTTAGAGCTTGTTAGAAGTTACAGCTTCGTAATATGGTAGGCCTTCAATTTTAATCAACCGGTTAATCTCACGAACATTCTAATTCACAGGTGAAAATTTACGTTTTAACTCGTAACAAGAAACTAAAGGTGACTGGCTATAATATCTAAACATTAGTTATTAACGAAACACATTCGGTATAAATGTGCTGAGAACAGCACTTACAAAATTCTTATTAATATGGTCAAAACCAATCTATGTCTGGTTTTGAGTAATAAGTTTAACAAGAGACTACAAAGTAACGCTGGGCCGAATAACTTACATATTAATTAATTAATTAACATACGTAGTCTTCGATAACGTCCATTAACCCGAGACCACAAGTTTGAGCCGTATCTTCACGTTTTTATCACATTGATTCATTACAGGTTGCAGGAGTATATCGTCACCTTAGCAAACACCCTGATCACTTAAAACGACACTTTTAATATCGATAGAACATTTTAAAACCACTAAACAATGGATAAGTAATACCAATTTGGTTAATTACATAATAAGTCACTGTCTGTCTAAAGGACCATAATGGATGTCCTACCATTATCACTCTAATTAAAGCACAGTTTAAAGTGGTTATGTTTGTACCGATATAAAAAGTATCAAATAATCAAAAATATTATATACACACTTTAGTTTGATAAAATTACAAATGAGGTTTTGTTATGAAGTAGGGGATGCATGTTTACAAAATGCTATGTTCTATAAAATGCACGATGTTTGTGCAATGTGATACAGAGAGTATCACTTTCTGATGCATCTGCAAGATTCTTTGCTGTTAGTATTTGAGATCCCTGTTCTTGCATTACACACGCCTGGTTGCAATGCTTTGCATTTGCCGAAATATATCACCGATTCAATTTCTTATTGGGATTGAGTTTGAAACTTCTGAAAGCATAGGCAGAGGCAACCCGCCATACCTTTCCAACCAGTTGCCTTTGTTTAACGCATATCTAATCAATATATTCTTTTGCAGTTTTGATTTACTTTTGGGATTGAGTTTATATAACATGGTGTTCTAGATTTGCGTTAAAACTAAGAAAGTTATATAATTTTGTTTTGTGTCTAATTGAGCTTTTAAATAAGAGATTGTGCTAAACACTTTAGTAAAACATAATCCATATGAAATAACATATGTGATTAATTTTGTTCTTAAACATTTATTTATGAGATTAATTTATTTTTGCTATAATTTTAAAACCGGCGCTTTTTAACAGATGTTTGCATTGTGTAGAGTTGCACGTACTGATAGTTTGTTAATCTATAGATTTGGATTCTGATCACCTGACTGCTCCTTACTCGGATGAGATCAAGGAAGGACAATGGCTGGGAGTGTCTGTGAGGAGTCAGGGTCCTGGGAAAAAGGCAGCCGTGTGCGCTCACAGGTTTGTATCTAAGAAAAATGTTGTACTTAGTGAAATATTTTCTCTTTCGTCGACGTTGAAGTTCTTTACGCATCTTACCCAGGTTTACCTGACTACCAGAAATCTTTGGCTAGATATACGTACATACATACATAACCTCACGCCTTTCTCCCATGGGGGTAGTGAATATTGCTACGATTCTTGCGTATCTCTTTCGCTTCATCAACCTTCCTTGGTTACAACATTGCTATACTGAAATGATAGCGATTAAATATAATCACATAGAGATTTGTATGTGACTGACTACATCAATAAAAGTATGTCACACTTTTAAATAGAGAAAAAGCTCATAAACACAAAGTACTGTCTGAAATACATTAAGCGACCTAGATTCCAGATTTTCGTGTGACATAACGATCTAGATGTTTTGTCAGTTAGCAATATTTTTTTATACATGTTTCATATGATTTCAGATATATTCGTAAACAGGGAGAACTGCAATTCGGTCAAGGTCTATGTTATACTTTGAGCAATGAATTGGAGCTCGTGGATGTCATGGAGCCATGTAGAGGACGATCTGTTGTCAGGTAATTTTATTTTGTTTACTTGAGTTTTGTATGACATGGAATTTAAGAAGAAATTACAAACGATCAGCTGTATATAGACGGAGTCATAATTGATTTAGTTGATGGCACTTACCAGTCATCGAATAAATTAGACGCAATATTTTTATATTTCAGAGCAAAATTACGAGTACAATAGAGCAGACTTAATTGACATTTTTTTGTCACCCAGTAATTTATTTTCATACCCGTGCCAACTTTCAGTCTCTTCATTAATCTGTCAGTTTTTAAAATGTCTTCTAATGTTAATAAACTTTTTTCAAATGAAATGAATGTAAAGTAAACATGATTATTCTGTCAAACAGAAAATCTTATTCGATTTCCAAATCGCAGAAAGTATGAACGGATTTGGCAATTTATGCTTTTAGCCCTGATGAAATTCACCGAAAAGTAATGGTAGTAAAGAATGTACTCTAAAGTATTATAACTTAAAATTATAAGTACAATTTTTTTTTTAATTTCCAGAGAACACGAGGAATATGGTTTCTGTCAGGTTGGAACCAGCAGCTCTCTACTGGATGATGACACTTTGCTAATGGGTAGTCCAGGACCGTACACTTGGAGAGGAACTATTTTCGCTCAGGATACCAGGGATGATGTACTGGAAAGAGACAATGTGGTGTACATGGCACCTGTTCAGGATGGTGCCAGTCCTGTCGAGAAGTACAGCTATTTGGGTAGGTATACTATTTGGATTTATCTTAAAAGATGAAGTTTTTGATCAATCTCTAATTTCTTTAGATACCGGAGGGAAGCGCCTTATTTAACCATCATTGTATATTTATCATTGACAAAAATATTCTTTAATAAATTCTGCGACACTGTGATCTTGCGATCCTGATCCAATTAAATATACAACTTAATTATCATTATTAAATTTCAGGCATGTCAGTATCCAGTGGTAATTTCTTCGGAGGAGACAAAGCCTCTTACGTGGCAGGTGCACCTCGAGCACATGGTACTGGTCAAGTAGTGATCTTCAGCAAGCTTGCCACTGAGGACTGGGGCAGAACTGACCTTAATATTTTGAACCTGACTCTACTGCTGAAAGGAGAACAGTTTGGCTCTAATTTCGGTTACGAAGTAGCTAGTGCTGATGTTAATGGAGATGGGTATGTTGATGCTTTCGTGTTATGAAAGGATTTTATGAAGGGCATTTTAGACTTTTTCAAATTGTTCATAAAATAAATTAAATTTGAGTTTTCTATGGATCTTGTGTCATTGTTAATCTTCATTTGTCGTATATAAGCATTAAAGCACCTAACACGGCTTTTTAAATACTCATGTTTATTGTTTTCAGGTTACCCGATCTATTGGTTGGAGCACCTTTCTATTTCTCTCGAGATGTGGGCGGAGCTGTCTACTTATATTTGAACGTGAACTCTAGTCTTCATCAAGAATACAACGTCAAGTTGACTGGTAAACAAGAATCCCAGTTCGGTATAGCCATCGCAAATGCTGGAGACTTGAACAAAGATGGATGTCAGGACATTGCTATAGGCAGTCCCTACGAGGGCAATGGTGTTGTATACATATATATGGGAGATAGAGAAAAAGGACTGAATACAAAACCAGATCAAGTTATTGCTGCAGAATCTTTACCAGTTCTTATGAGAACCTTTGGATATGCGTTGTCTGGGGGAGTTGATTTAGATGCTAATGGATACCCTGATTTATTAGTTGGCGCTTATGAAAATGTAAGTTTCAGCTATTTGTCATAAATACTATTTTTTATATGGTTTGATGAAAACGTCTCCGTCTTCTCTGTCTACTTCTTTGAAATCTTTACTTAATTTACTTATTTATTCACTTTCAGAGCAGCGTAGCCTTAATCAGAACACGACCAATTATCGACATCAAGACTTCGATCCGACCCTCTAACACTATCATCAACATTGACCCCACGATTCACGGTTGCGACCGTGACCCCAGTTCCAACTACACTTGCTTCCACTTCCAAGCTTGCTGCATCATCGAGTCCCTAGTCAAGACCTCACAGTCTACCACACACCGTCTCAACTACGTCATTGAAGCAGAAACATTCCCTGGTGGAAGAAAATACTCCAGAGTCTTCTTTGATTCTGACAAGAGTAATATCGTCAACAAAACTATAATGCTTGGTAGAGATGTTGAGGACTGTAGAGAACATATCGTGTATTTGAAGAATAATACTCGTGATATTCAGACTCCGATTAAGGTAATTTTTATGCCCAAATTGACTATAAAGGGATTTGTTAATTTAAACAGGTGAAAGCGACTTCATAGGGTAGTTTCCTAAATTTTATTTTAATGTCCGTCTGGTATGTACATTAATTTAAAACTTTAGACACGTATTTTTTCTTTTCTCACAAAATAAAATACTTTCGACGATATATTAATTTGAAATATCGTATGACGTCACAGCGTGTCACATTTTGTAGCACGTTATGACGTAACAACCCCTCACTCTTAAACTTAGCGCCATTTTTTAAGTATTGCATTTTAATACGAGAAAATAAAAAAAAATCGTGTCTAATATTTTTTTGTTATCTAACTGACGGACTAATTCGATTTTTAATTTTCGTACCCTGGAAACTACTACTGCCTTAATAGTCATCCTTATAAATTCTACAAATGCTTTTTTCAGTTTTTCTACCTAAATCGTCTAATCAACGTTCTTTCTGATTACAGTTCCAATTGACCTACATGCTAGTGCATGCTGAGCCACGGTACTCTCCTTCTGGCACCCTTCCCGATGTGGACCAGTATCCTGTACTGAATGCCACCGCCAGTTCCATGTTCACTGCTAATTTCCTCAACGACTGTGGAGCAGACGCCATCTGCATTAGCGACCTCGTCGTGGACCCTAAATTATTACTGCCATTGAGTAAGATTTTTCTATATTTGCTTATGTTTTTTCATCGACATCTTACCATAAGGTCGATGTGTTTTTTGATTGTTCAAAGGATATCAATTATGTTATTGGTCTCATTATATCTACTTGAATGTGAGTAACACTGAGACTCTACTACTAATTTTTAATACTTTAGCCACGCCAGGTTTTTTAAAGTTAAGTTTGTATTACTAGTTGCTAATTTTTATTACTTGCTTTTACAGCCAAAGACAACAAGAGTTACGCTCTAACGTTGGGTCAAGAGGAAGAGATCAAACTTTCAATTTCAGTGGACAACTATGGAGAATCTGCTTATGAAACGCAGTTGTTTGTCACCCATCCTCCCAGTCTACATTATATCGCAGTCAATATAAGTGTGAGTTTACATTAATTGATATAAATTAATCTATTTAAACATTAGGACTTCTTGATTAAGGTGGCCCGCTAATTTAACATAAGTAAAATTAAAACAAAGATTGGCGATATTCTGAAAAGTAGTACATCAATGTTTTGGCACAGCTACCGCCATCTATCGGAATAGACGCTAACTACTCAGTCGCTACTACGGACAGCTGTTCCATGTATCGCGTTGTAACATGCATAAACCAAGAATAAGAAGTTGAAAATGTGTTTTATAACTGGTTTTATCCGTTTTTCAGGACAAACACGTAATATGCACGAGTTTCAACAAGACTACAGTAACTTGTATGTTAGAAAATCCTTTCAAGAAGCAAGCAGATGGTTCTCCTCCTATCACGATGCGTTTCGATGCGCGGGCGTTGGAAGATAATGACCAATCAGTAGTATTCACCGTATGGGCAAATTCCACGTCTAAGGAGCTGCATCCTGGGAAGAAGCCCGTGGAAGTCGAGGCATTGGTTATTAAAAATGCCGAATTGCTGATTAAGGGGTAAGAAGAGATTTTTAAATAGCTCTTTAATGTGTGATGTCAAGTTGATCTGACCAAGACCAGCATTTATGGTTTTTCAAAAATAGGTAATAAGATCTGTCTCAATTACACATTTCTAATTTCAATTTTTATCATGTTTCCAGCGTGGCGCGTCCAGAGCAAGTTTTCTATGGCGGTGGAATAAAGGGAGAGTCTGCTATGACGTACTTTGACGACATCGGAACCAGAGTCGTCCATACTTATCAGGTACAGAAATCAATTTTTTTACTGTCTCTTATCTCTAGGTCTCTGTAGACCTGCAAGTAGTTTGATGCAATTGCACCTGTGTAAATATGGGTACTGGTAATGCCAAGAGACCCATTCTATTTATTAATTAATTTTATTTATTTATTTATGCTTAACGCACAATCGTACATTAAGTGTTCTTATGCCATAGGCATTATCTGCCATTCTGCCATATTTTCATTCACCGTTTTTTATCAATAGCGAGTGTTTCGAGAAAAATAATACTTAATAACTTGGATCTTAGAAAATAAACTAACATCATCAAAAATATTCATACAGGTGTTCAACGAAGGTCCGTGGCACGTATCGTCAGTGCAGGTAGTGATACAGTGGCCTCATCAGCTGGCGTCTGATTCGGCGCAAGGGAAGTGGCTGCTATACCCTGAAGACGTACCCACTGTTGATGGAGAAGCTGGTTAGTACTAATTGGAATAGAGTGGTAATTGGACTAGCTAAGAAAAAGTTTCTAAAATATTTTTGCTTTAAAGCTAATTTATTATCAAGATTGAGAAATTGCAGATGGGTGAGATAATTGGGCAACTACGCAGGTTTATGGGTCCAAAAAGTGTATTGTTTAATACTAAACCGACAAATACTTAATTTCAGATCAAAATGGGGAATGTTTCGCTCGAGAAATCAATCCCCTAAACCTGACAACTCGACCAGGAGCCCCAGAGCCTCTGGAGAACTTAGAAATCAATCCATTCCTAACGACTGGCAAGCTGAGCGTCAGTTCAAGCGAGAAGACTCACAACGAAACTAGAAGAAAATATGTGGAGTATTCCAGTTCTAGTTCTTATACAAGCAGTAACAAAGTAAGACGGAAAAGAGATGAAGATGCTGTAAAGGCTGAAGCCTATACTGATAGGAAGCATGTCATCAATTTGGTAAGTGTAAATCTCCACGTTTTCGTTGAGCCAGTTTGTTGTTCAGTACACTTTTAGTGCACATTGCTACTGTGTATATTATCATACGTATAAAATGTATACGCTAGAAGCCGTAGGCCATCCCTCAACTCAACAAAACCTAACAGCTTAGGAATCAATAAAGGTGGCAGTATGACCTGTGCTAGTACGACAAAATTAAAAAACCTTTACTGGAATTATACCAGTTATGTATAACATTTTCTTTATTTCAGAACTGCCAACAAAAAACAGCGAAGTGTATTCAGTTCCAATGTGTGATCTACAAGCTAGGTCGTATGAAGACGAGTACGATCAGTGTACGCGCAAGACTGTGGAACGTGACGCTGGTGGAAGAGTTCGCGAGAGCAGCTCGAGTGAACATCGCCTCCACCGCATATATCAGTATTCCTGCTCATTTCAATATACACCAGAACAAGCAGATTGATGATAGAACAACGGTGAGAAATACTAATCTAGCAGAATACTAGTCTTAACTTCAGCAGAATCTTTAGTGGCTGCATTTATGCTTGATTTACTTTATAAACTAGATCTATTAAAATAATAATAATAATAATAATAAATCATTTATTCAAAAAATATAAACAGAAATTTCATATGTCTTAATTCTATATTCTTATTGCTATGTTATGCCATGTGCCTGAACTAGGTTTGAAACCTGTACCTCAGGCAATAAAAACCGCTTAGCATAGAGAACTTAAGGCCTAATTAACAATAATTATATAATCATTCTTATATTAAATTATTTGATTACTCAAATTATACCCATATATATATATAGAAATGTATACCTAATCACTTAATAAATTAACTTATTTCTAATTTTATTTACATACGGTCAGCAAAAATTCGGTCTGGTCATAAGTCAGTTGTTGCAAATATGTGCTGACACGTTTTTTGCATTGATAGCAATTCAAGTTGTAAATACAAAGTTGCTTATTTAGCCTGTTATATAAGTAGGGTCCTAGAAAACTATAGAATTTATTACTGTACATAAATTTTGAGGTCGAGTGCGAACTGCAAACTATATCGTTTCGTCTCTTCTTTACAGTGTTGGTATCATAAGGGATCTGCGTGTGTTGCTTCAATATTACTTGCGTTATGTATAGTTGCCTTACAGTTAGTACCTTACAGGATTTGTATAGTTGTTCTGTGGGGAACAGGAAAGGATAGGAGTGTGCTACTTTTAATATTGCTCTCTGTGCTCGTTCCAAAGACAGCATAGAGGTTTTAGGTACACCACCCCATGAGGTAATACAATAAGTGATAATGGACTGACATAGTGCCATGTACACTTGAGTTATTAATTTAGTATCGGCAATTTTTCGCAATATTTTAAATACAAACATCAGTTTGCGTACTCTGGATACCAAACTCTCAATGTGTGGCCGGAAAGAGAGTGTGTCATCAATAATAATGCCTAGATATTTTATGTGACGAGTTTTGAGGATTTTAGGACATTCACAGGAGTATGTCGAGAGGGCATTACATTTATGCACTGTAAGTTCAGTGTTAGTAGTGTTAGTTTGATTATTACGCATGGAAAAGAGCAAGTACTTTGTTTTGTCAACATTTAGTGTTAGTAAATTATAGTTTAGCCAGTTATTTACGGAATTAAATTCCCTCTGAGCGTTCTCATAGAGTTCTGTGATTGTTTTTGCGGTAAAAATAAGCGCTGTGTCATCTGCATATGATATTATTTTTCCGTTTTGTATGTTTATATTACAGAGATCATTAATATAGATAAGGAAAAGGGTCGGGGCGAGAATACTACCTTGTGGTAATCCAAAACCATGGTTCCCTCGGTCTTCACTTGTGGTCGTATCAATTCGAACACATTGAGAGCGATCATTTAGATAGTTTGTTAGTAGTGTTAGTTGTGTGCCCCTTATGCCTATTGCTTCCAATTTATGTAAAAGAAGAGGAATAGAAACAGTATCAAATGCTTTGGCTAGGTCTATAAAAATTGCTAAGCAGTGATTGCCTTTACCAAGTTCTTCAGATACGAAATTAGTTAGGCTATGAACAGCATCCGCTGTAGACATTTTTGATCTGAAGCCGAATTGCCTGGGTGAAACCAGGCCATTTTTCTCTAGATAATTTACTAAACGGGTGTTTATAATTTTTTCTAATATTTTGGATAACGAGGGCAGAATGGATATTGGTCTGTAGTTGCTTACAAGCTTTTTGTTTCCTGATTTAAAGATAGGTATTACTAAAGCTTTTTTTAGGGATGTAGGAAAGGTTCCTTGGGATAGACATAAGCGGAATATGTAGGTTAGAAGGGGCACTAGTATACTCTTACAACGTTTTATTATTCTGTTACTTATATTATCACAGCCGACCGCACAGTCATCTTTTAGTCCAGAGATTATTCTAGCTACTTCATTTTCATGTATCAGCAACACAAAGGATTTTTCTGGTTTGTAATTGTAAATTGCACAGGCTGTGTGATTGGCGAATTACTCACTATCTGGTCTGCAAGATTTTTACCTACGTTAACAAAGTAGTTGTTTACATTGTTAGCTGATATCAGTGGTGTGTTATCACTACACAAAAGGCCTGAATTTGATTCACGCTGTTTGGCTAAGTAAGTTACAGACTTTATGTGATTCCACAGTGATTTGGTATTGTTTCCGGCTTTTTGCAACTCGCTTCTATCGTATTCGGTTTTAATCTTTTTTAAGAGATTATTGCAGAAGTTTCTGTATCTCTTATATGTTAGTTGGAGTATGGCGTTATCTGGAAATTGTCTAGTTTTTTTATGAAAATAACTGCTTGATTTATTTTTAGCAAGCAACAACTTTCATTTTTACGTCTTTTTCTATTGCCATGTTTATCAACATAACATCACGCCTTATATCCCCAAAGGGTTAGGCTGAGGTGCACATTACAGCACTTAATGCCACTGTACAATGCAACACCTACTTTTCACTATTTATGTTACGAGTACGAGTCCCATGTAATAGGGGGTGAACCATATACCGGGCACATTTCCATACTCCGTGAAACTACTGAGATTTTTAAAATTACAGTAACACTTTGCCCGACCCGGGAATCGAACCCGAGACCCTTTACTTGCGACCACTCGGCTAATGTGGCAGGCCATGTTTTTTAAACCTTTTCTTATTCTACCTTCTTGATTCAGGTGGAGACGGTCGCATATCCAGACTTGAAGATAAGCGAGCCTACAGAAGTGCCACTATGGGTGATCATCATATCAGTGATAGTGGGACTTATAGTGTTGGTGCTGCTAATCATTGCGTTGTGGAAGCTAGGCTTCTTCAAGCGCAGTCGGCCGGACCCCACGCTGTCCGGCAACTTGGAAAAGAACAACCACGAAGCCAGCCCCTTCATAGGCCGTGACAGGAACAGTGTTCGATAGCCTTCAATGTTCCACGTGATACAAAGAACGCTACCCAGCGACAACGCTGTCCAAGTGTAAATACAAACGACTATTGTGCACAAGTATTTAGTATGTAATATCTCTGACTGTGATGTCTTCTTAGAGGAATTTGTGTGTATGTGATGAAGTTATGTTCTGTTTTGTTGATGTTGATGCACGATGCTATAGCTCTATTGTTTTATTTTTAATTGCATTTCTGTAGCGTAACGTGAACATGTTTCAGATTGATTGTTTATATATTCTGATGGATTAATTATGTATTATTTACTTTTATATTTTTTTCTGTAAATACGTACTTGCCTTTATTATTTATGAATAGTATAAATGTCTACTTAATTTGACTAGATTTTTCACTAGTCACAAAATGTAATAATGTTATAGTTTACGTGTAGGATATAGTGGTGTATTGTCCTTAATATACTTAAGTCAAATCGGTCACAATTGATTTTGGACACTAAAACTAATGAAAAATGTTCAAAAGAGCTTTCAAAAAGTCCTGACAGGTACTTAACTATTTAATGACTTTTTACAATTTATATTTTAATGAAAGTTCACATTTCATAATTTTATCGAGCATGAATTTTTGAATAAAGTGCTAAAATGAATTTGTTATATCAACTAGGAATAATTGTAAGTATTATATTGTAAATATTATTGTTTCCATGTCACTAGATTTTTTACAAAATTTTCTATTGCAAGTAGAGGCATATATTTTACACGTTTTCCTTATAAAATCGCCCAGTAACACTGCCAATTATCCCATCACCTAGTACTATACGAACCTACTTTTTAATAAATTTTTGTCTACCTAAATAACACTGGTTGTGATTATTTCTGTTATGAACTACATACCTACTTAATAGTACATTTTAGATTGAATAAAATTGTGCCATTTTGATATCTTGTTTCATTTGAATTATTAATTTACATGTGAATATTAATGAGTATCTCAAAATCTAAAAAATGAATGAATATCATGGGCATAAAACGAACGAAACATGCCAACAAAAAAGGTTTTTGGAGAGAGATATACATAAACTAAAATAGCTGAATGATAGTGAAATCTAAGTTTTCTCTTCACGTGAGGAAACTTGGAATACACACTTATACACTTTATAGAATTATATTGATTACAGTATTATACAAAATATTGAACAAAAGAAATAAAAATATACAGGAAATATGTGTATGATAAAACAAAAAAATAATGTGATTAAAAAGTAAAAGATTAATAAAAAAATAATGTTTTCACTCGTACATAAATATTATTTACAATTATATTTTAGGTACTTAAGGAAAATTTACTTCAGTTAGCAATTTACATGAAACTTAGAGATATTGGACTAGTATGTGACTAATAGTAATTCATATGTGAAGCTGGCTGTGGTGATTTCTGAAACAAAATAGAAAAAAAACTAGATGAATATGAGCAGATCTATGGATGCAGTCCCTGCTGTCACAAAATGCAGTCTCAAAGTTAAAAGTTTTAAATAATATCCTCTTCGTCATCATTTTGGCAGCCACACCACAAGAAGTCCACTTTAGAACATACGCCTAGCCCGCAGTGACTTTTTGATCGGTAAGTTGGAAGCGCCCTGCATCCAGCGCTTATCAGCAATCGTTTCTGGGTAGGTAATCTGTTTCGTGTCTGGTGCGGACTATAATCTGATATTCGAAATTTTGGGTCGTCCTCTTGTTTAAGGTTGTACTACTAGTGAAATGTTGATGATTTTTATGAAACTTTGGGTTCTGATACAGGCAGGCAGGACGTTATACTGTTTTATATGAATTTAAACCAAAATTTTGTTATACAGATAGACTTCCATCAAGATTTTTTGCTATTTCTGTGGTTAAGTGCTAAACACGACAATTAACCCACACAAAATGAGGTTATTCCTTATATAATCACATGATTACATTCCACATTTAATGCCTATGTCGAGTTAATAATTACGTCGGAAAATCGTGATTTAGTTATTTATTACAAGCCATATAATATTACGATCAGACTTTTTACGTAATTATTTAAGTCTTATACAAAAAGTAATGAAGTTTTTTATACAAGATCTGTTTTAACACTTACGTCTTTTTTAACGGCCGACCAACAAAAAGTGCACAGTGATTTATCTTGGTCGCTTACGTCATTCTTCTGTAAACAGGGCTGCTCCAAGTCTCCTGGAAGATAGAATTTTATATTTATTTTACCTACGTAGTTTTAATTAAGGTTTAGAAATTTAGGAAGGTAGTAAAGGAACACTGCGAACAGTTTGTCGAATGTATCTCTGTCCTAGTAATACAAATAAGTTCTTGCTACCAAGAGTTTAGAAATATTAAACCTCCATCATATTTTGATCGAGGCATCGAATCTTCTGTTCTGACTTGCAATCAAGAAAAAGTAAACAACCGGTTCAATGGGTCAAGCAATCAAATATATCTATAAAATAATGATCGGTTAAAATCTAAAAGTACATGTGAAAAATCACCTTAAAATACTTCGCTATCGAAACTAAATTAGATAATGAGCATTAAGAACAAATATGATCTATATCAACACGGACATCAGGACATCTACAAATATAGAGTACAAATAATAATGGAGTGTACTCAACACACATTACACCAATAGCCTAACAAAGGCCACATCAATTCAGAGACCACAAAACTAAAACCGCTCTGATTGCATCAGATTACAATTAGCCTCGGCCCACCTATTTCTTATCTACTTAAAATATAGTTTAAAAGCCGGATCTAACAGTAATTAGGGGATAATGAACGTTAATGTTACCGGTATAAAGTTGATTGTCGAGGTGTGTGATGTAGCTGCCAGCGAGGCGAAGAATCTCGATCTTGCTGAGCTTCCTATCCGGTGGTTCCGTAGGGATGAGCAGTCGTAGTGTGTTGAATGCTATGTTGACGCTGCTTAGAAATACAAATCTTTTGATAACAATTCTATTTCAAATTATTTAGAAAGAAATTAATCATGAATTCATGATAAAGTGATAATTGGGATGATGACAGGGTATGGAAATTAAAAATCTAATTAGCCCGTAAGTTAGGTAGTGAAAAAATATTAGACACATGTATTTTTTTTGTCGTATAATAAAACAATACTTAGATAAAACGATTCAAAGTTTAAGAGTAGGAGCTAAAACGTCATTTCTACGTATAAAATGTACATAGAAGTGACGTCACGCGACATTTCAAATCAATATATCGTGGAAAGTATTCGTTTCTGTAAGAAAATAGAAAATATGTGTATAATGATTTCAAGCAATCTATCAGACGGATATTAAAATAAAAGTTAGGCATTTCCCCTATTAAGACAGTGGTTAGGTAAAGTCAAAACTTTTTTTTTGTTGGAATTGGAGGCAAACTAGCATACGGATCACCTGATGGTAAGCGATCAGCGCCGCCCTTGGATTAATAATCGCCCATTAATACAACAGTACCTACCTACATATTATAGATTCAACAATTTTACTACACTAAACAAAATTCCCTTTGCTAAGAACAACACAGTTTTAAGTGTAATGATTTGTTTCAAACCATCAAAACGTTACAAAATTGTACCTCCTGTATAATCAAAAATTATCGTCACTTAATACCAAAATTGGATACACGTACAAATTGAAAGAAGTCAGTCACGTACAAAATCATAAATATCTAAGAAGCTAAAGATTTAGTTGATAGATATGTTTATTATAACTAGTAGGATAGTAATCTGAAACGTGAAAATAATATGACTATAATAGGTACAAAAACGCTGGCAAATCATATTACTAAATGCCATTTGCAATCTAATACCTGTCTGTTTTAAACTTTAAAATACAGTAGCCAGTCGGCGCCAAATGTGAGGATTCTGATCTTATCTCAACAAACGATATCTTACTTAAGTAATCATATAGCCTTGTCAATTAAATTACATCATTTATTTTATATAACTGCGTTTGAAAGTGATCGTCCTTAAGGAATCGTGGGATATAATTATTGAAATCACAAATCAATACCTAAATTCTGAAGCACTTAAAATGACAAAAAATATCCTAGGTATTACCTAGCACTTAATACGGTTCCTACGTATGTATAAATTTAATGCATACATTTACTAAGAATGTATGCATTAAATTTATTGTTTAAGTTGTTTATTGTTTAAATTTATTGTATTTTTATGTGAAAATAGGCAGGCACGTATTACAAACACATTTAGGGTAAATAAATAGTATTTAAAAAAAATTATGTAGGTATCCAAGTAGGTGAGTGTATAATACGTACTGTAATATACACTACAATTAATTAATTGCTAAAATTGGGAAAGGCTAGGTGGCAAAAATAGTAATAGTAAAAATACTAACTTCTGTGTCCGGTCCCTCTCGCGCGCATTCGCTTGACACCTTTGCTTCGCGGCTGGCTGAGAATCCGAATGTTGGTACGAATTCACGGAAAACATGCGTTGTTCCCATGTTTCTTCAGTACACTGATAGTTTAAGAAATTCTGCATTGTAACCTAAATGTACGAATAAAAGTTTTTATACAAAATAAATAGTACGATTTTTTGACAATAAGTTATTTTGCAAGTTCTAATGAAAGTTGTTACAGTTCGGATGCAGGATGCGTACTAATCGGGGGACGTATGTGGGCCCACTAATAAGTATCCCGATGGATATCGCTCATGAAGGAGTCATTTAGGAAGAACAGCGCGCGCCACTGACTCGCTCTTAGCCGATAATTGTATAAACAGATGGCTGCCGATGTCACAGGAACGTACTTGGGACTTGAGAAAGTTACTGTTATATTTTTGTTTGCTCTGTAAAATATATCAAATGTATAGACAGAATTTATTAAGGTAGTTACACATTTCTTTACCTTGGTAGTCAATTTCACTAAGTGTTGTTACTAATGTGACAAACTGATCTAATTAAATATTAAATGAAGAAGAAGAATATTAATTTATTCGCCTCTTCACTTAGACAACAAAATATTAAAAACATGTTCGTAAATTCGCTATTTCTCGTAATGTTAATTAAACTGTCAAACACCAAGCGGTCACCGGTGACCGCGACTTATTGTTCTTTAATTGTGTCTATAAAACCGGTACTCGACGAGTTAAGTACATAGTTATTGTGAAAATGATATAAAATTAGGTATATAATACATCGCTGTGAATTATGCGAAAATAGTATCAATAAATTGATTTACTTGTTTAAACTTTAAATCCGCCCCTGCTCTGGCGAATGGGTAACTTGTCATCAAGAATGTAAAACGCGTCTCCCTCGAGCTTTGTCTGTTGCTTTAAGCAAACTACCGCAATAAATATTTTTAATGACGCCGATGATTCCTCAAACTACATCTCCCCTTTAATTTGTTACTTGATATGTTAGACAAGTTCCTTTTGTTCATGGTAACCACATGCTTTTGATTTCATCTGATTGATCTAGTTATGACCTGACCGCTATGAAGTTATTTCGCTGCCTCCGGATAGTAATCACTCATTGAATAACTCGTATTAATGATTAGATTACCTTGCCGAAGGAACTACGCCCTAATTCCTTTTCATCAGCTACTATCATAATAAATAAATCATGATTAACTACTAATGTTTCCCTATAACTAATTGAGTGTTGAGCCACGTTTCTTCCATTGGTACGCTCCATTCCTATACGTTCAATTCATTCAACATGTTTCGCGTATGTTCACGTCTCGAGGGGATGTGAGGAGTTCCGTGGGAACATCGACTAATTGGTTAAATTATACGATATGTCGACCGCTGCGTTCATTCGTATTCATTTACAACAGTTACAGAGTTCACATGAAAAAACAATAGACGACACCAAAGACTACAAATTCATTTTATGAAGACTGTATGTATTCGCGAGCTTACGCTTGCGGCTATGAGTCCATACGGTTGCTGCATGTATTTAAATATTTATTAAAAATGTTTTGATGTATGTAACAAGTGTTTCAACATTTTACATTTACTAAAAACAGACAGCCGTTTAGTCAATACTGATTTGATTGATTTGCTGATAATGTTATTATTTATATTGCCAAAATATTTCAAACCGTCGATTTCCTAATGCACACATAACAGATATCATACAACTCATTAGCTGTTCATCTCAATGCAAGCAACAATGACTTGCGTGGAGTAGTGAAGCAATCGCTGGTGATGCTCAGGTGGCTGTTGGTTTAGCGAGCGACGTCACGGCCCCACCACGTCGCGGCGCTGTCGGCCAACCGACGCGGGCGCACCACGGCCGAGACTTTCTCCTCGCGACACCTCTGCCGGTGAAACGAGCGTCGCCGCGAGTCGCACACGCAGCCGCGCGCGAGTCGACCGCCTTCGACGCTGGCGCGACAACATCGACCACTACCCACACTTCCGCGTACAAACATTAACCGCTTTCGCTCCGTAAACAGTTTTCGTGTGAACTATTTGTGTACTACATCGATAACATCCGACCGGAGACAGTGCATGGGGTGTCGTGACTGAAACAATCAATTTAGTTTGTACACCAAAGTGATGCTTTTGTGGAATTAAGAGGTGAGTGTTACCTTTCTACTAGTCATGGTCCATTCTACATTAGACGATGACATTAGATGATAAGAAGTGGGCGCAAACGTTAGTAGTGAACGCAAGGACACGACCAGACTGACTGGACGTCAGTCTCCCTGTCTACCGGCAAAAGTCCTAATTCATATTAATTGTCTACGAGAATTAGAAACATACGTTTTTCATAAGAAGAGAAAGAAACTGTAGGTACAATTAGCATATTAATTGAAAAGTTTGTAACAATACCATGTTGTCCTCTTTAAGTTAACCTACCGCACACTTACAATATTTGTCTGAACAGTTACATTAGATGAACAGTTAAGCACGGACCGGTCTGAGTATGACCGGCATTTTGAGATCAGCTGGGCTGACAAAGCGAGATAAAGCTGATAATCGATTCAAGGTATCCCGCAAAATGTGTAAAGGCCGACCAAACCGCACACTGCATCGAAACTTATATTTAACGGCATTTAATGCTCAAGGATTTAATGTTTAGAACTGCTTTGTGTTTAGAACTGATGAGTAATTATTTCAATTGTAAAGTTAATGTGGGTGGTATGTTCTATTTTGGATTATCCAAAAGTATTTCCGCAATCAGACGAGCCGTAACAAAGGTACGTGACCAACCGCGAGTAAGTGATTTACAAGGTGACAGTTGGCCAACTTTGCTCGACTCCTCTTGCGAATTGAATGGAAGATCGTTTTTTACACTTTTTCTTGGGAATTCTGATGTTCGCTTGAGTTGAAAATAAACGTAAAATTGGTTCATTTTGAGTCAGGTAAAAATTTAATTACTGAAATATTTTTAAATGGTAAATCCCTTTAATTTAAATTCCAAGTACTTAAAAGCAAACTTTTTGAACTCATCATGATAAAGACATTAACAAAGAATAGACCTACTAAAGCACTGAAGACGGAACTATTAATCACTACTAATTATTGTTACGTTAGATTACCACCGACTCCATGGCATCCGTGTGTTGCATGAGTTGATTGAGGAACCTTCGAGGTTCACCGAATCCAACTCCGTGTGATTCACTACTGAGTAGTACTGAGCATCCTCTTTGACATCCTGCCAATGACCTATTACAATACGAAGGCGTCATGTGCCGGAGGTCGTAACGTGCATAAACAATAAATGCAACACCTCAACAGTTACTTATTATGTCACTTTGATGTACTTATTAATCACCAGGGGATTATTTTATGCGGTTGTCTTTTGTTTTTCTGAAGTTATATTCAACTTGTTTATAAAGTACTAACTTCTAATCTTTGCTATAAGTACTCCTAGGTCATGCAGTAGTTCATTGCTACATTTCTTTTAATTTCTATATGCAGATACCTAATACACTCGCAACATATTTTTGTAATACGAGCCAATAATTTGATTTTGTAATAAAATAACATAACCGTTACGATCGTCAATCTAAATTAACGATTTTGTTAGATACAAGATTATTTCTATTTTATTTGGTCATTAAAATCGTATTTGCATAAAATCAGCAAAGTTACTATCGCCTCGTTCATAATTAATCTCTTTCGAATTCTTTGTGAGATTGTTAAACTGTTGGACATCTTTTTTTAATTACTTTGAAGAGTTTATAAATAAAGATTCTAATATCAAGGGCCCCTTGAGGTAAATATCACGTATTTGTTGTGTGATAAGTGACACATGTGAGTTATGGCGGAGGATCGAAGAAACGAAGGTGGCATGATATTGCGCCTTCTGACCTACTTGACGCACATTCTAAGAAATTCGTGAACTTGAAATTGATCTCAAATTATTTACGATTAAAGTGCTATTTGCTATTACTACTTGTGTAGAATTGCAACATATAGGAGAAAGGGTATCCATTAACTCGTCGAGTACCGGTTTTATAGACACAATTAAAGAACAATAGGTCGCGGTCACCGGTGACCGCTTGGTGTTTGACAGTTTAAGTAGACTATTGTCAAGTACACTGTCCCACGAGTACGAGTGTGATGATGATTCTTAATTGTCGAATATCCTGTCACACAGACTATATTTACTCCTAGCATAATATTTGTAGATATAGACTTGTGTATTTTTATATACTAACTTTTCACTAGAATATTCTAGATCGAACTTAAAATGTCACATTAGGGAATTCCTGAACAACATTCATAAATAAACTATACTTAGTAATATGTACGTATCTGATGCGGCAGAAGATATTGTTGCACTATAAGCACTATGCTTACTGGTGGTTTGGCAAGTCGGCCTTGTCGGCAAATGGGTCAAATTCACGCGCCGCTTGCCCAAGCGCAATTATACATGACCAACCATTATTTTATTTAATAATTCAAACACTTATCGGATCATCATGAGAAAAAATTAACGTCCATATGTAATGGGTTTTATTGTTGTAATTACTGTACTTGCCCAAAACACTTAATTTAAGACTTGGTATTTGAAGAATGTTATTGTTTCGTCCGACCTCAAGTAATGTTTTAATACAGGCACACCATTGTTGGCTTGGAACTTACTTCAATACTCACTGTGTTTACCCAGTACTTGAACTTCAAGTTGGGGAATATCCATGTCTATTATTTGTTCAGAATGCAAAGTAGTTGTCCCTTCCACTTAGTATTCTCTCACAATCCGACCTTTTCTGTAATAGTCTTAAATATCATCACTCACGATTTCATATTCGCGACGTGTTTTATCTTCGAACAATGTAAGTTTCACGTAATACGTTCGTGTGCCTACGTTACTGGGTGACTATGCGAGTGAATCTGGTATTGCACAACACTATACATCTCGGCGTACATCTTTCCGAGTGAGGCGACGTCCTTGTGATATGTTGTCATTATAAAACCTAATGAGCCTGGTACATGCTGTCAACCCATAAAGCCTTTTGGCTCAATCGAACACTTGGCAGGTGTAGGCATTTGATCCCTTCTAAAACAAGTATATGGCAACGCGC